TGGTTTTTGAGCTGAGCAACTAGGAGGGTTGATGTATTTCATCAATATTAATAGATAATTAATTAGGAGTATTTTAGGAGGAAAGGTCATGAATACAGTTTTGAATACATAATGTGGGTTATCTGTGTAGACATGGCTAGCAGGCTGTTGGAAGTCATTGGGTAGAGCTATGGAATGAAAGCAGTAATGGCAAAAGAGACACAAGAATCCTCTTCCATGGTGACAGGTAGAATCATGAAAGCAGATGAGATCCTGAAGGAGAGACTGGGGAGGGATTTAATGGATGGGAGGAGAGTTGGAGACTTGGGGAAGCAATCGGAGAGGTAAGAGAAAATGCAGCTAATACACTGACCCATAGTGTTAACTGTTAAAGGTATTCCCTTCTTTAAGGGAATGAAGGATTAAATCAGTCACTGGATTTTCTTATCATGATGATAAGTCTTTTTTTTTTTTTCCAGAGATATTTTTGCTATAGAGTGCATGCATTTGCCTGGAGATATAGAGAGATAAAGAAAGTGAGAAATCACCCCCTAGGGGGTTGGCCATGCTGCAATCCCTTCTCCTCCATTCTCCTGTCGGGATTTTGGGCATCCACATACATGCACCAAGTGTGAATTTCAAGCTGTCAGATCCAGGACTTGAACCACGGTTAGTCATGTGAGAGTCTAGCATGGCCATGAGGTCCTGGGACTGGTAGTCTTTGAGGAGACACTTTCACTGGAGACTTGATGGCACCAGATTTCAAAATGATGTGTCATGGGAAAATAAAACTTAAGCAGAGCATGCCCATTTTCAGACTGCCTTACATTAAGCCAGAAAGTAACACAGTAAGCAATTTCTACAGAAGTGTAATTTAAAGCTTATTTTGTGTAAACAACAAACATCCTGTTTTCCACATAGAGTGCCTTTAGGGTAGAAGTGATATCTTATTCAATTTTGTACTTTGACCACCCCCATTTTTCTAAAACACAAGCCAGAAAAACCAGAGTCTGGCCCCCATGACTGGAGCTAAGCAGGAACTCTAGTCATCTGAGGTGGATAATCCATGCAGGGTGGATTCCCAGCATGGCCCAGACTGAGGCAATGTGTGGGGAAGGCCTATGGTGAGGTTCGTGGAACAGGTGGGGACCACTTTGCCATCACAATCCCCACAATAGCTATCTTATTATTTATTTATTTTTAGTGCTACATGCCTGGCATTGTGCTAAACAAGGCAGGTAAATGTGGTACTAGTCCTTGCCCCTCCCCATTTTCCCATTCTTTCTAAACCCTACCCAGTCGATCTCAGGGAAGAGCAAGCATATTTTTCACTTAGAAAACTGATGATTCTTCCTGTGACCTTCCTGAAGTCCGCTATCTGGTTTCTGTATTGTTCTCTTCTGGTTCTCTTCCTGTATCTTGGACTGCCTGCCTCTTGCCTTCTTCATCAATGCTTCTCACTTGCTACTCACATTGACTGTACTGCATGGACTTTCCTCTCTGTACATTGTGACGTCTCTGGGGGAGCTTAGAACTCTTAACTGTTCTTTCCAGAACGTCCCAAATGTTCCAGCCCCAGCTCCTGAGTATCTCATCCAAGTGCTCTATTTCTGGGTTACTTCGCTTAAGTGTCTTTTAGGCATCTGAAACTCAAGTCCAAAACTGACCTCATTATCCTTCTTCCTAAATTTGCTCCTTTACTTGTGTTTCCCATTGGTTTCCTGGCATCATCTTCCCCTCAATCATGGGCCACAATCCTCCTTCCTGCTCTTTGCCTCCACAGTCATTGTTCACCAGGATTTGCTACTTCCATTAGTGAAAGATCTGAAAACACCTCCAAATCCAGTGTGCTATTTCCACCACCACTTCTTTAACTCTGGCCCTCACATCTTTTGCCTCAATGTTTGCAATAATACTTTAATACTTTAACTGCTTCGAGTTTCCTGTAAAACTCCTGTAATACTATTGAGGTATATTTCCAAATATAGGTAATTTACCCTCCAGTTAAAAAAATACTTTATTATTTTTTTCAGAGAGATTTTTGCTATAGGGTGCATGTGCTTGCTGGGGAGACAGAGAGACAGAGAGACAGAAAGTGAGAAATCATCCCCCAAGGGGAATGGCCATACTGCAATCTCTTCTCATCCTCCATTCTTCTCTCAGGATTTTGGGCATGCATGCACACGTGCCTGGCATAAGTTTCAAGCTGTCACGTCCAGGACTCAAACCACTGCCAGCCATGTGGGAATCCAGCGACATAACCACTACGCCATCTGCTTGTACCTAAAAAAGTTTTTTTTAAAAGAATTATTGGGCTGGTAGATGGGATGGTGGTTGAGGTATTTGACTCGCACATGGCTGAACACGGATCGTGTCCCGGACCTAGTGGCTTGCTTTCTCACCTTCCCTCTCTCTCTGCCTTTCTCTGGTGATTTCATGTGCCCTATAGCAAATTAAAATAATAATAATAATAAATAAATACAATTAAATTAGAAATTAAAAAAAGTTTATTTGATTTTATTTATTATTATTTTAAAATTTGCTATGGGTATGTGCACTCACCATAGAGACACAGATGGAAGGAAGTGGTGGAAAGTGAGAAAGCAAGCCATCAGGTTGGGGACTTGAACTACGGTTGGGTGTGTGGGAGTTCAGTGCTTCAATCAGCACACCATCCACTGGCTCCTTAAAAAGTGTTTTTACAGTATCTAATTACATGTATAAATTTTGAATTCCCTTGCTTGGCAGAGAAGGCCCCTTTTAATAGAGCCTCTCTTTCCTTTTGTTCCTCTCCCCCTCCCATTTAGCCTGTGACAGCTGTTCCAAACATATCCCCTGACTTTGCTCACAGTTTCCTCTGTGTAGAAGCAGTCTTACCTCTTCCCCACTCTGGTGAAGTCAAACTTGTCATTCAAAGCCCAGCTAAAATGTCACCTCTTGGGCAGAATATTCTATAATTCTGCTAAGTAGATTTAGTATACTGCTTCCTTTTTCTTCTCACCCTTTGCAGATACTATTAATATTGCTCTATTGCCAGATTTTCTCCCTGTTGCTGCTACTACCTTGTAAATGCTCATGGCAGAGCCTCCCTTATTAATCTTTATATCGCTAGCACTGAGCAAGGTGCCTGTGCCACAGCAGGTGTTTCCTGGAACTGAATTGAAAGCAAAAAGAGCTCTCTCTCTCTCTTTTTAAAAGTTAGATTCAGGCCTCAGCCCCATGGATTACAGATTAGTTAAAGTAAATTGTATGACAAATATAGACCATTCTTTTGTTAGAGACAGAAATCTGTATCTTTTTAAACTATGCTACTTGAGTAGATTTCCCTAATAATTATTCCATGGCTTTATACCTATTCCAGTACATCACAACTTTCTCCTTTATACCCTAATTGAGCGTTCCCTTGATCAATACATTCTTTTTGAGACAGATCCTTTGGAAAAAGAATACATTTAAAACTTGTTTTACTTGGGCCAGCAGTTGGCGTAATGGCTATGTCACTGGATTCCTATGTAGTCGACTGTGGTTTGAGTCCCAGATCCAGTGGCTTAAACTCACGCCGGGTGTGTGTGCGTGCATGTCCAAGAGCTCAAGAGGAGACTGAAGGAGAAGGGATTGTGGAGTGGCCATCCCCCCTGGGGGGTGATTTCTCGCTTTCTGTCTGTCTGTCTGTCTCTTTCTGGCGAGCACATGCACCCTATAGTGAAAACCTCTCCAAACCATCCCCCCCCCCAAAACAAACAACAAAAAAAACTTGTTTTACAGACATCCTTAAGTAATGATTGCTATGGTTTGTGTGTGTGTGTGTGTGTGTGTGTGTATGTGGATATTATATAGCATAAAACTATTTGGTAAGATAATATTTAGCAGTAGGCCAATTAAATATTTCACTTAATGAGTAAAATTGTCTTTCACATAACACATAAGCCAATCCTGGATGATAAGTAGCAAGGTCATTAACAATTGGAAAATATGTGTCAGAAAAAATTTAGAGAGCTAACTTAAAAGAATTTGGTAAGACATGCTTAGCCCTGGCTGCAACAGCATGATGGGATAAAATCAAACCAGAACTGAGAAATGCGTCAGTCAGTGTGATTCATAGTTACATGGCTGACTGTGGAGACTGAGCATGGGTATTAGCTTGTGCTAAAAAGCCAAAGTGACATTTTAAAATCCCAGTCCAATTAAATTGTGGCAGTCGCCACATGCCCACTGTAGGGTTTGACAGTGGAAATGTGGCCTGCTCTATTTGCTGGATAAAAAGTTGCTCGAACCATAGTTGCAAGGCTATCAGCTGCATTCTGGTATATGTATAGGACACTTTGTCTTTCCTCAAGAATTTTTACCAAATGTTAGGCCAAAATATAGCCAATACTCGAGAACATTCATTTTGAAATAGTGATGAATACTGTCTGGATGTAAGTTATGACTTTAAAAAAATAGTCCCAAATGGGTTCTTTTATTAAAAATAATTTCCCCCTTAAACTTGGTGCATTGCTGAGCATGGCGGACGGAAACTGAGAAGATGCGATCCTGACTGGGTAACTGCCCCAAACCAGGCGGGGAAATACCCATGATGCCAGATGAAGTTCAGAGCTCCTAGGGATAGACAGTCCCGTGACTGGTATTCTTTGTGGTGTGGAGAGGGTTGCTTATATTGAAGCTATCCAATACTTGGGCTGAGAGGAAATAAATTTAGTTGTTCGCACTGAAACCCAGGGGGGATTTTTTGAAATGTGTGGGGCAGAACTCAGCTAGTGCTCTCTGTGGTTCTCCCCCCATCTTTCTTCCTTCAGGGGCCAGTAGGGACTGACCCATCCTAGGATTTGGTGCATTTCAAATTTTCATGGACCCACAAATCTTATCCTTCTCATTTATAAGGTCTCCACTACAAATAGTTTCCAGAGCTCTAGTAGTAATTAGACAAGCTACCATGAAAGAGAGCATTATACATCAGTTAAAAACATATGCAAAACCAAAGCTCATTAGAGAAAGATAATATTCATGCAGATTTTACAAACCGTGTCTTTAGGGTGGCCCAATAAGTAGAAATATGGGGACCCATGCTTGTCACTTTTCATGCACATGGAGAGACTGGAAGGTACCATTCCTAAAGGAAGGGGAGGAACAGCCTAGGACCAATCATTAGAATTAACAGAACCAGTGACAAAGATATATTATTACTGTTAGCATCAAGATTGCTTAGTATGTTTAGAACAGTCAAATAAAATTATCTAGGTAGTAAGAATAAAGACTTTAAGTAAAACTAACCCTATCAAGCATGCAGCAAGTGAAATTAGTGAAAGACTGAGCTATAGATGTATTCGAAAGTCGATTTTTTCTCAAAATATTGAGGGCATCCTGAGGTGCATTTAAGGAGGCACAAATGTGAATAAATTTGAAATGGTACTATCTGAATTCTTGTAGAATTTTATCATCATAAAGGGTGTTTTAATGATACCAGCTGTCATTTGAGAATCAGTCACAGTAATCATCTCTAAAGTTGAAGAAATTCTAAAAATAAAGACATGGTGCCCATGTTTATATGTATGTTTTCTCTAATAATCTCATAAATTCTTATAGTTCCTCTTACCTCTAATACTCTGCTTATTTATATTCAAAGTTCACACTTGGCTTGCTGGATGTAATTGCTTTCTGGGAAAAAAAGTAAAGCTGAAAAAAAAAAATGCAGCAAGGTCTTGCCTCCTGCACTGTGCTGAAGGGCTGCATTTTGAAAACTACCTCTTAGTGCTGTCTTGGTCTGTGTCTGGCTCAGCTTGCGGGCTTTGGTTCTTTGCTTACACAAAGGTAGGTACTAGAAATTCTGAGTTATCGAGGTCAGCAATCTCAAGAGACAGGCTCCTAGGAGAGGCCCTGGCTGCTCCTGCCATGCCTGCTACTACACTCTCTCAGCTCTGTGCTGTGTAGGGGACTGCGAATGTGTTCATCTGTGGGGTTAATGTGATCAGAAGAACTTAATTCATGTAACTCAGGCATTCTGAGGTCTGACTGACCCTCTCTGCCAGTACATACTGAATATGCTCCTCATCTGCATGCCCAGCATGCTCCACACATGGCTTCAATGGAGAATGGAGTGCAGAATGGAGTGACACTCCGCGTCCATCTTGGATTCTGCCAGAAGGAGTGTTTTTCATAGCATGGAGTATGTGGAGGGAAGGGAGAATACAGGGGGAGATCTAACACCTCGAGGTTAAATGGAAAATAGAAGCTCTCAGTGGTAAGGAAGTGAATTCTTCACAATGAATGTCAGAAATGGAAATTAAATTTCAGGATTTATTAATTGAGTTTATCATGTAGTCCTGCCAAGATACAAGTAGTTTTGTGTGAAAATAATCAAGCTGTTTTAGTGTCACACAGAGAAAGTTCCCATTTGGTTTTAAACATGGCTTTGACTGGGCTTGAAAGATACAGGAGCTAGGAAACTTCACACCCAGAGGGTCAAATAAAAGGGCCCAGAACATGGTGAATATAAACTGCAGTGAAGGCTGGAATAGAAACTATAGTGAAATGTGAGAAACAGAGAGCTGCATGCTGCGTAGGCATATTTAATGCCTACTTTGTTGCAAGGGTATGTGTCCAGCCCTAACACCCTGGGTCGTACCGAGGCAAGAGTCACTGTCTGTTGGACAGCACGTGTTGAAAAGACCAGGGACCATTCTATGGAAGTGTAGAAATAGTTTATTCTAGAAGCAAATGTCTCAGCCACATTATAGCAAACAGCTATTTAGTGTGGACTCAGTGTGTGTTTGTTGCTCTGTTAAAAAAAAAAAAAAAGTCATGAACCTAAACAGCACATTAAAGACTGTGCAAATCTCAAAGCTGATTGATTTCGCTATAATTAGAGCATATAATTCAATCCTGGAGTAGGTCATTTGTATGATTTTTATCTTTGGTCCTGGACTGAGGGAGTTCACTTGAAAAGAAATATTGGGAGGCTTTTATCAGAACAAGATATAGGGGCAATCCTAACTTTGAGCACAGCTATAAGTAGAGTTTGTGGATTAAAAAAACCCAAAAAACAAAAACACACAAAAAAACTAGCCTTGTGGAAAAATATGTGAAAACCAGAAAGACCAGTGGATTCCAGGAACATGGAAGGAGGGATGCATAGGCCGAGCACAGAGAGTTTTTATGGCAGTCAAAAAACTGTATAAAAGTATAATGGTGGATATATGTCACTAAGTATTTGCTTACACCCATAGAACGTATACCACAAGAGTGGACCTAATGTAATTATGGACTCTAGGTGGTAATGTGTCAGTGTACAATATCACCTGGAATGAATGTACTATTTTGGTGGGGATATTGACAATGGGAAGGCTATCCATGCATAGGGTCAGGGGTACACAGAAACTCTACTTTTCTTTCAAATTTGCTATCATCCCAGAACTGCTTTAAAATATAGTCTTCAAAAAAATAAAACAAAACCAACTGGCTTTATGAACTCTATTTCTTTCACTAGAAATGAGGGGCTTAGAGGGCTCAAGTTTAAAAATGAAAGCTAGCAAGTTACTTGACTAGGGAAAGCAAGGGTAGGGCAGTAGGCACAGGTCCCACTGAAGTGATGTTTTGGAGACTTGACAATTGCTGGTTATGGCAGTTGGCTGGACCTACCTAAGAATTTGTCTGAAGGTAGTGGATTCTGCTTTTAGCACCTCAGTAGCAGAGTTTTGTTGACAAATTCCTTCACAGCGATGCAAAACTTTTCTACAATATCTCTACTTCAAGGCAAGAGAAAATCAGACAGTGAAGAAGACAGCTTTGGCACATAGCACCAACTTCAGAAGGGGCCTAGTTGAGGCGTCAGAAAGTTTAGCTTGAATCAACACTCTCATGCTATGAACCACAGGGTCAAATTTTCCAGAATAAGGAAAGCAGAACCATGTCAAAACGAGATGGAAAATGGTCAGACATGGGAGGAAAAATCTGGTCTCCTTTAAGTTGCAATGGCTGTTAAGTCTTAGGGTGGAAAACTATTCAGAAATAGATGGCTAAAGAGGAATCAGGCTGAAGGGTTGGGGCATATTTAAATAGTGAGAGGTCAACAAAGACATAAAGAGGAAAACAGGAAGTAGAAGCTCCTGTGAGACTGGCCTTCACAAGCAAGCCAGAGGAAATACATTCAGCAATTTCCAGAGCATGAAATTCCCTGATTCTCTGGGATGGTACTTAACAAATATAAAATCCTGGTCCAAATCGACTCAATCAGAATCTTCAGAGGGTATGTGGAAAATGAAAAAGAGTGCTAACATCTTCGTATTTAAAAGGCTGAGTTGGGAAGGTCCCAGATTCATATCTGGAGACTTCCCTGAGTATGCTGGGCATGCACGTGCCCTGCTCCAGGGATCGCTGAAGCTGAGGGTAGATAATTGTGTCAAAACCCAGTTGGGAGTGCTGTTTCTCACCCATGAAAAAAAGAAATACACTTAAAAAAAGCTGAATCATTGCTTTGAGACTGTCACACATGTATACGTGTACACGCATGTGTCTGTGTGAGAGAGGGAAACTTCTGATTTCTCTTAAATACATGCTACTAATTTTTCTCTGCTGTTTCAGAGAATTTTCTGAGTCTTTACATTTGTCCTGTCGATCTATGATCTTCACGCCCCGCCCCATTACCCACCATATAAGAAGCATTATCTGGAATTTGTAATTTCTTTGAGATCCATTCCACTATTCAGCAGTGTTTCCAAGCAGGTTTTTTTTTTTTTTTTAGAAGATTTTTGCTATAGGGCACATGTGCTCATCAGAGAGACAGAGACAGGAAGTGAGAAATCACCCCCTCGGGGAGATGGGAACATCACAATTCCTTCTCCATTCTCCTCTTGGGATTTTGGGCATGCATGCACATGCACCCAACGTGATTTTCAAGCTGACAGGTCAGGGACTTGAATCATGGTTGGGCATGTGGGAGCCCAGTGATGTAACAGTTATGCCATCTGCTGGTCCTGAAAGCAGCCTCCTTAAGAGCTCAGTTTCATGTTGGGGCAAGGGAGGGAAGGTTCCTATTAGATCCCAAAATAAAACTTTCCATGGTCATATTTTTGAGGAGCTGAAAGGTAGAGGTTTTCCAACATGCTTGGGGAGCACTTCTCAATAGGATTTGGGAAAGCTGTCTTTTCATGAACTCATCTTCTCCCATAACTTATGTGTTTGGGAATTGAGGGAGACTGGACCTCAAGAGTTAAGTAGGTTTGGGCAAATCTTGAAGATGCCGCCCAAAGGAAAAAGTGGTTCTGGAAAAGGGAGTAAAAAGGGAGAGTAGTGTCTGGGAGTGACAATGCTGACAAGAAGTCACAGGGTCCCAAAGGTGGTGGCAATGCCGTAAAGGTCAGTTACATTCTTTGTGAAAAACACAGCAAAATTATAGAAGCCATGGAAAAGTTAAAGTCTGGAATGAGATTCAATGAAGTGGCCACACAAAATAGTGAAGATCGAGCCAGGCAAGGGGGTGACTTGGGTTGGATGACCAGAGGATCCATGGTGGGACCATTCCAAGAAGCAGCATTTGCCTTGCCTGTCAGTGGGATGGATAAACCTGTGTTTACAGACCCACCAGTTAAGACAAAATTTGGATATCGTATTATCATGGTTGAAGGGAGAAAATAAAATTATATGAAAGACTGAAAATAAAAAAGAGTCAAGTGGGTTCTTCTTAGCTCACTTCTCAGTCACTATGTGGTCTAATATATTTTATCAGTCTTATGTAATTAACAAGTCAGGACTTACAGATGAGTGTGAGAAGACTCACTGAGCCTTCAAGAGAAAAATGCATGTTGGAAATCATGTAAGAGTATGTATAAAGAAGGAATATCATTATGATCTATGATTTTCAATAAAATAATGTGAAGACATGGGATTTTACCTTCATTCTAAATACACGTACAATAAAAATGAGCTTTTGACTGAGGATCAGGGAGAGGAATTTCAGAACTATATATTTTAAGGAAGCCCCTGCCTCTGGCTCCATGAAATAGAAGCTTATTGCACATTTTATGGTTAAAGAATTTCCTGGGGTTACCTAAATGTTGCAAAGAGCAGACTTGAGCCTTCTGGCCAGGAAGAACTCTGTTCTCGATATGATCAGCC